TGTTCCCTGCCAAAGTGTCTTTCTTTAATAGACAGAAAAATATAAGGCCCCAAATACATATGATAAGATGACCTTTGTACAATCCACAGCTTTTTCAAGAATCAGAAATCCAGACCACAGAAGAGGTTTAAGAAATCAGTCACATCTAAACATACCCGTCCTTTAGTCCTATTAGGGGAATTGTCACCCATTGGGGCTGCCCTCTGGTGGAGCAGTTTGCTAGTTGCTGATTAGCCAAAATTTTAGGGTACCAGCTTGAAGCACACCTAAACAATCTAAACTCCACAGGTTAGGCAAGTCAGCCATTCTTTTTTTCCCTCCCTGTCTCTGTCCCAGCCCACACTGACTTCAAGCTCACATTCCTCTTCCTTGGCCTTCTGCATACCTGGGATTACAGGACACACTTGTAGTTGAAGATATTGCCAGTTGTGGCCAGTGCAAGAAACAAATAAGAGAGTTTTAGCATCTAGGGTCAGGCTGTCAGAGTTGAGGGTCAGATCTCTTGAACCAACCAGCAAGAGGATTTGACTGAAAGAGGTGGGGAAACTGTGAAGAAAGCACGTTGTCAGTGTGACCTAAGCCCAACAAGTTTGATGAAGAGCCCCTTCCAAGAAGGGTTGTGACCTCTTCAGGATAGCATCCACTGCTCTCCTAGAATGAGGAATAAAACTTATCAGCGCTCTGGTTTCCCCCTACTTCTCTTCAAAATCTGCCAATTTGGGACCTACCTAAAAGAACTATCTAGAGGCACTTACACTTCCAGCCAAGATGGTATAATAGGACTGGATTATCATTCCACCTGAAGCAACATGGCACTCCCCAAACCATATAACATAAAGCAGTGATTTTCAAGGTGCTGTTCGTCAGACAGCAGAGAACATTGATCCTGACTGAGATCATGGTGCAAGGAGGGAGATTCCCTAAGGATATGGATCTTAAAAGTCCAGAGAGACTAAGGCAGCTCAAGTTAATAAAACACAGTACAAAAGAAAAGAAAGCTGCAAAGAGAGACCCCAGAAATCTGCAAAAAAAAAGCCCTTGAACATTAATCAGAATACAGATTAGTGCATGCATGTGAAGAAATTGCCTAAGGTAAAGGAAAAATAATGTGAAAGGATTAGAGAGAAGAGTGCCTATTCCTGCTGGCCAGATTTATAAGTCGCATGAAAGTGACTGCCGCACTCAGAAGAGCACTCCTTTCAATGACCTAATTATAAAAGCAAAACATGAACAAATTAAACTGTTGCTGTATAACTAACAGTATCCCAGATAAATGTGTAAAATATAGGAATATTAAAATATTGAGCAGCCAGTACAAGTATAAAAATATTGACACAAGGTAAAAGTTCACAATATCTGGCATATCACCAAAGATTACCAGACAGACAAAGGAGGAGAAAGGCATGACCTATGATAAGAATAATAAAAATTGACTCAGAACTGACACAGATGTTAGAATCAGAGAAGTACACCAAAACAAGTACAGCTATATTACATGGAGAAAAAAAAGTTAGACAAATACATGGAAGACACAAAAAGGATCCAAATCAGATCTATATAAATAAAAATTACAGGGCTGGGGATTTAGCTCAGCAGCACAGCGCCTGCCTGGCAAGCACAAGGTCGTGAGTTCGATTCCTGGCACCGGAAAAAAACCAAATAAATAAATAAGACAGCGTCTGAGGCTACACACACACTTTTCAGTGCTGGGGATTGAACCTTGAGCCTCCATACTGAGCTACGTCTGCAGCCCTGTTTTAAGTTTTTGGTTTTCAGACAGGATCTCACTATCCTTGCAGGTCTCCTGCTTCCACTTCTCAAAGTGCTCTTTGGTATTAACAGTCATTTGCCATCTTGCCTGGCTGACTTTTTCTGTGCATTTTTTTTTTTTTTTTAAGAGAAACGCTGGATAGGATTAACGGTAACTGAGCATTACAGAAGTAAACATTAGTGAACTTGAAGGCATAGCAGTACAAAGTATGGGAAGAAAATACAGAAAAGAAAATCCAAAAAGAGTGGTTGAGCTGTCCTTGAATATCAAAGAGAAGCTACTAGTGGCCTAATATATGAGTAATTGTAGTTTCTGAAAGTGAAGAAAAAAGGGAGATGGAGAGAAATAAAAGAATGACCAAATTTTTCCAAATTTGTTGAAAACTATAGCCACAAGCCCAAGAAGCTCTATATACCCCAGGTATAAGAAACATGAAGAAAACCAAGCTGATTGTGGTATGCACACCTGTAATTTCAGCATTCAGGTGGGTGAGGCAGGAGGATCGTGGTTTGAGGACAGCTTGGGCCTACCTAGTGAGACCCTTTCTCAAAAAAAAAAAAAAAAACCAGGAAAAAAAAAAAAAAAAAGAAAAAAACCTTTACCAAGGCATAATCAGTAGCTCAAAACCGGTTATTCTAAAAATCCTAAAAGCAGCTAGAAGGGAGGAAATCACATGTTCTGTATAAAGGAGAAGAAATAAGGAAAACATGAAATGTATCATGAAAACAATCAGGTAAAAAGACTAAAACAGCAGCTTTGAAGTGTTGGAAGAAAAAAACTATCACTATAGAATTCTATGGCAGAATATAATTCAGAAATGAAGACATGCACAACCTGGAAGAATTTAAGCAAGGCATGGTGGCACATACCTATAATCCCATTACTCAGGAGGCTGAGGCAGGAAGATTGCCACGAGTTTGAGGCCAGCCTGGGCTATATCGTGAGTTCAAGGCCAGCCTGAATTACAGAGCGAGACCCTGGCTCAGAACAAACAAACAAAAACTTGGATACAACGTCCAAGGGCAGCTGGGCATGGTAGTACTTGCCTTTAATTGAAGCACTCTGGGAGTCGTGAGGCAGAAGGATTTAGTGACTCAGCAAGACCCTGTCTCAAAAATTAAAAAGGGGCTGGGGATATAGCTCAGTGTGAAGGCCCTGAGTTCAGTCCTCATGCTGCAAAAACAAAATAAGTCCACAAATATAGCTGTGAAGATTTCAGTAATGATAAAATAAGTAGGCAGAAAATCAGCAAGGATAGAATGTATTTGAACAGTATTCTTAAAATCATTTTGGCCTAATTGATGTTGATGAAATCATTCCTGATGTTTATGAAACACATTCTTAATATGTATGCCTGGAATATTTACTAATGAAGATTACATTGTGGGGACAGAAGACAAGTCTCAGTTCAGGAAGTATGATCTCTAATGAAGTTCAGACTGGCATAACAAAATATTACAGACTAGGTGAACTTAGACAAAAAAATATATTTTCTGAGTTCTGGAAATTGAGATGAGGGTATCAGCATGGTTAGATTCTGTTTTCCAAAGTGGCTGCATCAGTTTTTGCTACCACTAGCATGTATGAAAAGCCTAATTTTTTGTGTCTGTGTTTTGATTTGGTTTGGCTTTTGCAGTACTGGGTATTTAACCCAGGATCGTCACACTAATCCACAACCCTTTTTTATTTTGAGACAGGGTCTCACAGAGTTGCCCAGGCTGGGCTCAAACTTTTTGATCTTCCCGACTCAGCCTCCCCTGGGGGCCAAAATTACAGTCTTAGTGCTAAGAGCCCAGTTTTATATCTTGGCCAGCACTTGATTAGTAGGAGACTTTTTAAAATTATTACTTTTTTTTTCATTAGTAAGGCCCTTATCCGATACATGATGTGAAAATATTTTCTCCCATCCCATGGCGTTGTTGTTGTCTTTTCATTTTTTTATAGTGTCATTTGAAACACAAAGTTTTATTGAAATTTATGTATTTTTGTCATGTTTTTGGCAATATCTGACAATCCACTGTGACATCCAAGGCTACAAAGATTTACCCTGTTTTGCTCTGAGTTTTTATAGATTTTCACCATTAAGTGACTTAAAATGTTCACAATGAGACCATAATTCATATGTCTTGCTGCCAGGTAGATGAATCACTGGTGGTACATGCATGACTGCCCCATCGGGTGGCTTTTTATTAATTTTATTAGTAAAAAGATCCATAAAGATGATTAGGTCCATTTGTACCACCCCCAGTGGGACAGCCATACATGTAGCACTGGTGGTTCAAGCTTGTGGGAACATGTTAAAAGTACTTAAAATTAAATAAAATTTAAAATTCAGTTCTTCTGTCACACTAGCCACATTTCAGGTGATCATACAGCTCAGGTCTAGCGCCTTGGTTGCTATGGACATAGAGCATTTCTTATCACCACAGGAAGTTCTTAAAGACCAGCGCCTCCGTACAGGAACACACTAGCAGGAAGTGAGCCAAGAATGAGAACAGGTTGTCCACAGAAAAGAAATAGCTGAGCAAGCGCACTGTACACACGGTTGTTCACCAGGTGAAGAATTCTGAATTAACCTGAGACGCTCGTTTAGTCTCCCAGATTGACAATGGCTATTTCATTCATAATGTCACTGCCAGTAAGATTTCAAACCCCTTTATTTTCTAGTTTTTCTCCTTAGCTCCTGCCATTACCATGCTATATATTTAACTTATTTTTCTTATTATCGGTCTCCTCCTTTGAAAGTAAAATCTATGTATGTAAAACCTAGTAGGGTTTTTGCTTATTATTTTCCCTCTAATGCTCAGACACATAAAAGAAACGTTGTCTTTGTTGTTGAATCAGGGAAGACAAGGTGTAGGGAAGGAGCACTTTCATGAACTGATGTAAATTGGCACACCAGTTTACTGCTTTCCAAGAAGCAGTTGTGTGGCATGTAAAAGTCTCAGAATGTGCTTGCCCTTTGACCCCACATTCTCCTTCTAGGTTTTTATCGTAAGGAAGTAATTAAGGATGTGCACAGCAATACAGCTGAAATATTCAGCCACATTGGAATGCTTTCATCTTCAGTCAGGAACATTCTTAAGCTGACGTTCATAAGAAATCAGGTTATTTTTTTAAATGTGACAACAGGAACTATTTTTCATAGTTCAAAAGATACCTTCCTTTCTTAATGCCTTAGGATTTTGAAATACTGCCTAAAACTTACCTATAAATTTTTTCCCCACAGGTCCCTTAATATGGACTTTGAAAATCAAGACAAGGAAAAAGACAGTAACAGTTCTTCTGGGTCTTTCAATGGCAACAGCACCAATAATAGTAAGATATTTTGTGTCGGTGAACGTTCATCCATGTACTTACCATGATCCTCCCACTTCATGGTTTATTGGTTTTATGTTGGATATCATAATGAAGTCTAATCTGTGTTCTGAGTTAGAACTACTGTATAGAGATACTGTACTGATTTCTTGCATATGGCTGTAAGCTTGCTGCTGAGAGTGTAAAGAGAAACAAGATACTAGTATCTGCCCGCTTATGACCTCATTTAGATACTTCGGTGAAGTTGTAATTTTGTGTGGATTATAAATTCATTCAGTGACCCTTAAAAAAAGAGCTATTTGAAATACTTACACAATTAAGTATCATTATTGATACCTCTTCTGATATTTAAAATCTTACAAGAGCAGGCATGGCCTGCAATCCCAGCCTTAGGAGGCTGAGGCAGGAAGATCACTCTGAGGCCCAGGCCAACCTGAACTACATAGCAAACTCTGTCTCAAAACAAAAACAAAAACTAGAAAAGGGCTCTGTGGCAAGTGTGCAGCAGCATTATTCCTAATACCTAAAAAGTAGAAACAGCCAAAGGCCTATAAACTAATGAACTTTTTTTAAAAAATGGTGTATCTGTGCAGTGGAATATTATCTTGTAGTAAAAAAGAATGACATACTAGTATGTGCTGCAAGAATGAAACTCAAAACAGTATGCTGGGAGAAAGCCAGACACTGCTTACTGTGTGAGTGAGCATGTCTGTATGAAATTTCTGAAGCAGCAGGTCCATAAAGAAAGTAGATTAAGGGGTTGCCTAGAGCTAGAGATGGTAAAGAGAATTAACTAAACGGAAGGATCTTAAAAGGATGATGCAATTGTTCAAAAACTAGATTATGAGCCGGGCTTGGTGGCACATGCCTATAATCCCAGCACTTGGGGAGGCTGAGGCAGGAGGATCACTTCAAGTTCAAGGCCAGCCTGAACTACATAACAGAACCCTGTCTCAAAAACAGATAAATGAAAACATGTATTTCTTCAATACCAATTCTCAACTCATGGATACCGAAAGGGATAAGGAGAGATTAGGATAAAGTGCAGTCCATTCATTTCCTCATAATAAGGGAAAACATTATGAAAGAAACAGCTATTACAAAGAAGGCCACTACTTGATTTTTGCAATATAGCATAGTTTCAGATTGAAGGGATAGCATAGAAAACAGACCGTCAACAGTGCAGAAGAATTAGGGCAAAGCTTCTAAGAGGGGAAAAAAAGTTACGAATTTAATGCTAAAAGATTGCATTTGCTCTTTCTCAAAATAATACAAATAAAAGAATTAGAAAAACCTGAGAGTAAGGAAAAGTGTAATGCAAGCCAACATCATTGGTTGAGTGTTAGGGATGAAGGGTTTCTTACAGTTTACATGCTATAGATAACAGAAATTAAAGCTCAGTATGGTGGTGCACACATATAATCCCAGCACTTTGGGATGTGAGGCAGGAGGATCACAAGTTCAAGCCCTGCCTAGGTAATTTAGTGAGACCATATCTCAAAAAATTAAAGCTATTTATTTTATATATATACACACACACATACATACATACATACATATATGCACTAGGAGTATAGCTCAGTGCAAAGGCCCTGAGTTCAATCTCCAGTACTGCCAAAAAAAGTCCTGATTATAAAAGAAAGTTAAAGAAGAAATATTAAGTGATGACAGGAGTAGATGGGCCGTGTAACCAAAATAATCAAAACTTCCAAAAGAGAGATTATTAAATGTTCTCACTACAGGATGAAGGGTAGAACAAGTAAAATGACCCTAGGGTATATGACCAAAGACTGAAAAATTGCTACTGCTACTTGTGTGGGCAGCACAAACCTACATGGAAGTCGGGGACAGTAGGACAAGCCTACCCAGGAAAAGCAAGAAAATGAAAATTAAAAGCATTATGAAATAGCACTCTGTAACTACCAGAATAGCTATAATTAAAAGCCCTGCAGATGTAGAACAAGGAAGAACTGTAGGCTTCTGGAGAGAGTATACACAGAATCATTTTAGAAAATACTTTGGCATTATGTACTAATGGTGAAGATAAAAACACCCTTGGGCCCAACAGTGTTACTCCTGGTTATATACCAACAAATACGTGCACACGTGCACCAAAAGTCACACACAAGAACAAACAGATCAGCATTATTTGCAATAGCCACAAGTTTGAAGTCAACCAAAATGTCAGCCATTGAGTGGATGTCAGCATATTCATACAGTGAAATTGATGAGTTCATATAACAGCATAGATGATTCTCACAAATAATGTTGAGTAAAAAAAGAGGAAGCCAGAGCTGCAAAAGATACTACACAATTCAACGTCTCCCTATAAAGTTCAAAAAACAAGCAAAGTAAACATGATTATTTACGGGTGCTCATTTGGGTGGAATACATAAAGAGAATATCATAAAGGCTAGAATAGTAGTTCCCTTTGGAGGAAAGGGAATGTGACAGGGAGGCTTCCTGAGGTTGGTCTGTTCGATGTGTGATGATTCATTGAGCTCTCTACTTCTATACTTTCCTGTGTGTGATGTTTCACAGTAAAAACCATTAGAAAGAACATGGCAGGGATAAGACGACTTGTCTTCCTATATTTCCCCTTACCTGGTTAGAACTCCCAGATCTGCCCCAAGAGTCTGTATATAGATAGATAGATAGTCCCACTTGTGCAACAGTCCTTCATTTAATTAGCATTAAGAAAAAAGCCATCGTTTGACATCTTGAAGTCTTTACTTCATATGTAATTTATTTGAACTAGAAAGATAGGTGGAAATATATATTAGAGTTTGTGAATCCTCCACCCTTAGACGATAAATGCCAGAAGATCTGGAAATTATTTTTTAATCCTTCTTATTACTATAATAAGTGTTTGGTTAATATTTAGTCAAAAGGTACAAAATCAGCCAAGTGTGGTGGTACACACCTGGATTCCCAACACTGTAAGAAACCAAGACAGAAGAATCACAAGTTTGAGCCCAGCCTGTTTGTGACTTATCAAGAGTTGGTCTCAAAAAAGTTATTGAAGGAGTAGGAGGAACGTAGCTCAGTGTGAAGACCCTAGGTTCAGTCTCCAATACTGGGCCAGGGGAAAATGCAATTGAACTCATATAAGTTGTCTGAATTATGGGTGCTCTGTTTAACTTTGTCTTAATTTGTTTTGTTTGTAAGTCACTGGTTTTGATTAAGTTTATAATACGCTCCTTCTCTTGTCAGATCATTATCTTCATTCCTTTAGGAAGTACCATACTGAAGTCATGTACACAGTTTAGGGTAGTAATTAAAGGAGCTTTACTTGCCCTGTAGTAGTACTTTCTACTTTAAAATCTGTATTCTAAGAAATTCTGTGCATTCTGTTGTTTGTGTTTATGTTTGTATTTTAATTACAGTCTAAAGTAAAATTTAGATTGATTATAAACACATCTTATATACCCTAGTTACTATAGTCTTGGTGTTCTACTAGCCACTTAACTTCTCTGCCCATGTTTTGAATTAATACAATTTATCTGTAGAGTATATAAGATCCTTTATTTCCAAAAGAAGGAGGAATGTGTGTATTTGAAGATGAGTAAATTTTTTTAGACTTGTTTCTTATCCTATAACAACTAATTTATTTGAGAAACCGTTGTTTCTGGTCATGAATAGCCTCTTAGTCCTATAGATTCCTCTACTTATTTTTTTAACTACTGTAGAGCTCTTAAATCCAGAAACTACGTAGGAGAAGTTTAGAGATTCCATAGCATTTTCTCATATAGACGGAAAACAAACACACACACACACACACACACACACACACACACACACTCACGCCATGGGCCAAGCTGAATGAGTTTTACTGTAGCTTAGGACAGATGATTTCTTGGATCATTTCTGTTTGTCATGATATCTAAATCATTTTTACTAAACTGAACTGCCCCATTCTTAGGTGCATTATTTGACTCATCCACAGAACTACTGAGAAACTTTTTTATTTTTGTTTCTTAAGGAGTAAAGGTTTATTTAGCTCAGTTTGTAGAGGTCTCAGTCCACAGTCTGCAGACAGGAATTACAGGGTAAAAAACAGTTCATGACAGGCAAAAGGTAGCAAAGCAAGCAAGAGAAGGAAACAGTTTTGTTTAAACTAAACTAAATAATGTTTTATTTCATGAAAACCCCTAAAGAATTCTTAGGGACAGGCAAATTTAAATACTTAAAAACAATTTTTAAATATTGATTCATGATTGGAATCCTTTGTATCTGTTATGTTCATCATGCTTACCTATTTGTAGTCTTAATTTACTGAAGAGATTTTTCAGATACATTCATTATAATGAATCATTTGATGATTTCTTTGATCCTTTTCATGTTTTTTGTTTGTTTTTTGTTTTAGGCAGGGTCTCCTTATGTAGTTTCGGCTGGCCCTGAGCTCACTATATAGTAGAGGGTAACCTTGAACTTTTGTCAGTCCTCCTGCCTCAGCCTCTCTAGTGCTGGGACTACAGGCATGCGCCATCAGGCCTGGCCCCATGCACTTTTCTTTATGACATCTTAGTAGAGTTAATGTAGACATGGGTAGGGTATAAGACCTCCAGTGAATAAAAAGAGTAAGTTGTAATTTACTCTTTTTATTCACTGGTTAGCAGATTTGCCATGTTTTCCTTTTCTGTTAGTGGTTCTCACCCCTGGATACAAAAGAAAATTTTCTGGGGAATTTAGTCCCCACAGATTTTAGTTTTAAGTGTTCTAGGGTTGGACCTGGGCATTTTATTTGTAATTTTTATTTTTTTGAGACAGGGTCTTGCTATGCAGTTCAGGCTAGCCTTGAACTCACTGTGTAGCCCAGGCTGGCCTCAAACTTGGGGATGATCCTTCTCCCTCAGCCTATTGAGTGCTGGAATTACAGGAGTGTGCCACCATGCCCAGCTTTAGGCACTATAATTTTTAAAACTTTAGATGATTCTAGTGAGTAGCTAAGAATTGAGAACAACTGCACAGAATCTCATATCCCAACAGCCCATTTACCTTATTCTTATACCTTAAAATGTTGTCATGAAATAATTTTCCTGATTTGCTATTTGCATCTCTTATTCCTTATTCATTCGCTTACCTGTTAGAGTAAACATAAACATATTAAATCCACAAATTGAGAAATTAGTCAGTGGCTTAAAGTACCTCTTTTATCAAACCTAAAAATAAGATCTAACAAATATACTCAGATTAACTAATCTGAATTTTTATTACCGCTTAACTGCTCTTGATTTGTTTTTGAGACATGGCCTCACTAAGTTGCCCAGATGGGAGTCAAACTTGGGATCATATTGCCTCAGCCTCCTTGAATGCTGGGATTACAAGTGTGAGCCACAGTGCCCAGCTTTTTTTGTGTGTGTGTGGGTGTGGTGCTTTTGTATCCTGTCATCCAGATGGTCAGCACCAGGAGGTAGTAATCTGATTTGGTCACTTAACTGTAGTGAAGGCACTGAGGAGAGAAAGTAGCCTATAATCTTACTGGGAAAAAAATCACAGGGCCTTGGATAATCTATACATTATAAAGCACTCCCAAGAAGTACCTGCATTTCAGTGAGCTAATGTATATAAAGTGCATAGGCACAGTGCCTGTTATGTAACAAGTGACTAATGTGTCCCATTTTCTGTTTTTTCAGGTATCCAAACAATTGACTCTACCCAGGCTCTGTTCCTCCCAATTGGAGCATCTGTCTCGCTTCTAGTAATGTTCTTCTTCTTTGACTCAGTTCAAGTAGTTTTTACAATATGTACAGCAGGTAAATGAGTTTCTCTCTCCATTCTTATTATATGAAAAGGAAAAACATTTTTTATCATTGTTCAAAATTTAGGATTTACATAGCATACCATGCATGTTTCTCTTCCTGAATCTGGCTTTTTCTGTCCCGACGCCAAACCTCCTTGAACCACTTAACACAGATCATCTGTTCAGACCTGTCAACACAGTCTGAAAGAAAGGCCAAAGATTTGAAGGCTCATGGGCTTTATGACACCAAAGCGGTATTACTTTAGCTGTGGCTCCTTTTCCAGTAGCTCTCCAGAAGATCCAGTTTAGCACAGTGGTCGCTGGTGCAGCCTGTACCAGTGTTTCTGCAGGTGGAAACATTGGTAACTAATCAAAGAGGTTCTGTTGTCAGCTCTCTCATCTATTTTCAAGCTAAGCAGTGATGTAAAAAACATTAACAAAATGCTGTAAGACTCCTAGGACCTATTTACCTTTCCTTGTTGAATTAGTAGAGAGTGAGAAAATTTACCCATACTACTCCTACTTCAAAATCAGGTACCTTTTGTATATTTTTTAAAAGAGGTATTTGTGTAATAGTAAAATAATAGTAATTTAATAAATAGTTTATCAAAAGTATTTCAGAAAGTGTCTAAACTGCCATTTTTCTTACCATTGGTGGAAAACTTTTTAAAATGTAATCATACATTTTCTTTCTCTAGTTCTCGCAACGATAGCTTTTGCTTTTCTTCTTCTCCCGATGTGCCAGTATTTAACAAGACCCTGTTCACCTCAGAACAAGTAAGGACTTGGGACTTTGTTCTAATATGCAAACTTGTGTTCTTCTTTCATGCTTGGTAGCATTGTTAGAAGTCTGAAGTGTCTAGTGTTACTGGTACACACAAATGCCAAGAGTTTGGGAAGCAAGATATTTGATCCTTTAAAACTAAGATATAATGCTTCCTTTTGCACCTTTTCCTGGCAGAGGAGATAAAACCATATCTTAAAAGGTGTTATTGTAATATGCTTCCTGTTTAGATTATTGAGAAACAAGCAGTTTTCTTTTAAAGCAGTGCTTTTATTCTTTTACTGGTAACTACATGGAATATGAGAATAGTGGTTGAATTCAAACATTCTTTACCCTCCTTTGGTGACCTAGATATGCTAGGTCCTTTGGTTTGATGCCAGTGATCACACTTGAACAAAAGGTGTTGCTCCTTGGAAATAAAGTGCTAATGGCGATGCTCTATGCACATGGAAACCAGTCACTAGGGGCAGCTAATTCTCCCAAGAGTTAGTGATAGCTATATAGATTGACCATGTCGCAAATATTTTTATCTTTACTAAGTGAATTGAACTGTTGGCTTTATTTTGTTTTCCTCTTAGGATTAGAATTTTCCCCCATCGTTAGCCTTCCAGAGATTGATTTTGTCACTTCAAACTTCTAAATACCCATTTTAATAATTTGGCCTAAAAAGTATATAATGAAACACGAACAGAAATTTAATTCTTCTGAGTTTTCTGTGGCTTACTGCAAAGAGGCTTGGATCTTCTAGATTTGTAGTATCTTGGTACTGCCTGCTGTTCTAATCCTACCATCAGGAATTCCAACTGAGAACCAAAGGAGAGTATGGTCATTAAATGCAGTGTACCCATCAGCCCCCTAAATATTATTGTGTTTTCCAGGATTTCCTTTGGTTGCTGTGGGCGTTTCACTGCTGCTGAGTTACTATCATTCTCTCTGTCTGTCATGCTCGTCCTCATCTGGGTTCTCACTGGCCATTGGCTCCTCATGGATGGTGAGTAATATGGGAACAGATTGTAATTTTTACTTAATATAGTTTTATAAATAATGACAGCATATTCACAGAGCCGTACAACAATCTAGGTGTGATCACTGCAGTAAATTGTAGGTCGTTTTTGTCCCTTACCCCTAAAGTCTATACCCATTAGCAGTCACCCTTCCCTCTACCTTAGTCCTAGGCAGCCACTAATCTGTCTTGATAAATTTCTTGATTTTGGACATTTATATGGCTCTGTCTCTGACTCCTTTCATTTAACAAAATATTTTGAAGGCTCATTCCACGACTCTTATGAGGTGGTTCATGCTATCATACTATCATAAGCTTTTTATAGCTGAATACTGTCCCATTACCATTTTTTTATGCCTTCATCAGTTGCTTCCCCTATTTTTGCTAGTAATAGATAATGTCTGTAAATGTTCAGATTCAAGTTTTTGTGCAGAGTATTTTTTATACATAATATGGGTTATATTTTATATGCAGCATACATTTTAATGTACTCATATAAAATATATCTGTATCATTATATAGAGGTATATCATATCCAGTCAGTAACTTCTTTTTTATGTCTGTTATTTAACTGTTGCATCCTTAGATTGTTTCTAATCTTTTCCTATTACTAGTAGCCCTAAGGTAAACATTCTTCCACTCCTTGGTGGAATGTCAGATTAGATTCTTTTTTTCTTTTTCTTTTTCTTTCTTATCCAGGGCCTTGGCACTGAGCTACATCCTGAGCCCTTTTTTAATTTTTTGCGAGAGTCTCACTTAAATTACCCAGGCTGAGCTTGAATTTGTGATCCTCTTACCTCAGCCTCCCCAAATGCTAGGGATGGAGGTATGCACCACCATACCCACCTACATCAAAATTTTTCATATGTTAACATACTGACTTTCAGAAACACGTAGCAGTTTATGTGCCTATGTATATAGCTAGCATATGAGAATTTCCTTTCACTGATAATGATGAAATAATAACAATAGCTAAGATTTCAAATACTTTTTATGTATTAGGCACTCTAGTAGGTATTTTGCATGAATGATCTCATTTAATTTTCAAAGTAACTCTTTGAAGTAGGAATCCTTATCCTCATTTTGCAGAAGAGGAAACAAAGGTTGGGAGAAGTAACTTAATCTAAGTTACAGAACCTGTGTCTGTTTCATACTTACTGCCAAAGCACCTTGAAAGAACATTTCCACAAATGCCCTGTGATTCTTTTGGCCTTTCCCATCAGACGTTTGAAAACTCTTAAAGATTGTACTCTCAGCTAGGTGTGGTGGAGCATGCCTGTAATCCCAGCACTCTGGAGGAGGAAGCAGGAAGATCACCATTAGTTTGAAGGTAGCCTGGACTACATAGTGAATTCAAGGCCAGCTTGAACTACATAAGCAAGATCCTACTTTAAAAAGTACATATATTTACTCTCATTTTTTTAGTTGACTTTCCTAACCTCAAGAAACCTCTATATAACTTCTGTATAATTGCTCTTGCTCTGTCCCACGAAGTCTGTACACCTTTTCCTTTCATTTGCTGGTTCAAATGAGAAACAGATTAAAATATAAAGGCAGTCAAAGCTGGGCATCATAGCATACACTTACAATACCAACTGCTCAAGAAGCTGAGGTAGGAGGATCACAAGTTCAAGCCCATCCTGAGCAATTTAATGAGACCGTCTCAAAAGTAAAAAAATTGTTAAAGGGCTCAGGATGTAGCTCAGTGCAAAGGCATTCCTCATAATGCAAATATAAACGCAATCAATTTTACACTTTTTGTCATATTATCTAAAGAACTTCTAAGGAGAGAAGTTAAAAATCAGGGATCACAGTGTGGATTCTATCCACTCTTGTTATCATTCCAAGCAACTACAAAGCTAATCCAGACCTAGGACATAGTTTTTTGGAACCTGCTGCCAGGCCTGAGGGTCCCCTGCACTTCGCCAGGCAATGTTTCCTTGAGCTTCAAGGCTGGCTCAGCCTCAGTGAGGTGTCACTCATTGTCCACTAAGCCCAGAATCTCCTGCAGTGATGCCTACTGTTCAGGCCTTGGATTGAGGAATAGCTAAGTTATTCCAGCAATTCCTAAATAACATGACATTAGGGTGTATACACTTCCCATACTGATCTGAAGTGTGCTGAGTAGAATTTGGTACATAGTTTGAGGCTTTTGTTTGCCTGTGTAGTGTTTTTGTACAGAGTCTGCCGAAAAATGTATATACATTTCATGAACAGAAAAACTTCTATAAATATTTTAATATGAAATTTATTGAGGGCCAGGGATATAGCTGAGTAGCCACAAGTGCCTGCCTGGCAAGCGCAAGGTCCTGAGTTCGATTCCTGATACCAAAGAAAAAAATAAACATAAATTCGTTGAGACATCATGATTTTAACTTATTTTTGGCCTCTACAGTTCCAGAAGGTGCTCAAAATGTGGCTTTTAGCTTCTAGACGTTTATTAGTATGGCAGACTGCTGCTTGGGTAACCTTGGTGATTGAGATTGCTGCACTTGTGTTTTCAATTTGTTCTCTAAGGAGGGCTAGCAGTAGTGGGTTTTCTGCTATATATGACATCTTCTAGGGCCCCCATATGAGGGTGACATCATCTGTTGGAAAAAAAACACCATGCTCTTTCACTTTTTCCTGAAGTGTGTATGCATTTTTTGGTGGACTTAAAAACACTTGTATTTGCCAGGCACCGTGGCACACACTGGGCACCTCAGCTACTCAGGAGTCTGAGGCAGGAGGACCACAAGAGCCCAACCTGGGCAATTTAGCAGAACTTGTCCAAAATTAAAAAGCGCTGGCATTCATGGGGCTGTGGGTTTCATTCCCAATATGGGGAGAGGGAGTCGTCTCACATCAGTGATGTGATTTAATTCAAAACCGAGGATGTTCTGCTCGTGGTCAGATTGGAATCTTTTATCCTGTGATCCACAGTCAGATTCACATCACCACACGCAGGAAAGGTTAACGAAAAGGAAGCACATGCTATAATGTAGCTGCAAGAACAAAATTTAAGCCTTAAAGAAAACTAAAACGCTCACCCTGGTTCTTAAAGGAATTTTTTCCTCGTAAGTAATTTTGACAAGTATAATTAGTAAGAAGCTGTGAGAAACTGAATGAGGAAACAAACTATAAAGTAGATTACAAGTCCTTGAAATTATATTTAAATGATATATTTTAATCAGAAGTGATATTTGTCACTGCATATAGTGGCACACACCTGTAATCTCAGCACTCTAGAGGGGTTGAGGCAGGAGGTTCACTGTGAGCTCAAGGCCAGCCTGAACTACATAGTGAGACCATGTCTCACACATACACAACAAAAGAGAAGTAGTATTTGTACTGATAGTGCCTGTTAAGTTATAAAATATTTCAATGTAAAGTGTGCGTATGACTTTTGATGGGAGATGGGCTACTAGAAATTGAATCCAGGACCTTCACACTGAACTACATCCCTAGCCCGTTTTTAAATTTTGTGACAGGATCTTGCTAAGCCATTAAGTAGCCCCGTCTAAGCTCAAACTTGCAGTCTTCCTGCCTCAGCCTTCCAGAGTTCTGGGATTGTAGGCCTATACCACCAGGCCCAGCTATTACTGTTACCTTTTTTTTTTTTTTTAAGCAATTTCAGACTGGCCACGAACAGTGGATCACTCACAGTGATCCTCCTGCCTGAGCCTCTTGAGAGCTAGGATTACAGGCATGCACCACTACATTCGGCCTGTTATTTTACTTTTTTTGTTTTGTTTTGTTTTGTTTTTTGAGACACGGTTTTTGCTATGCAGTTCAGGCTGGCCTTGAGCTCACTTTGTATCCTAGGTTGGTCTCAAACTCGAAGCAATCCTCCTGCCTCAGCCTCCTGAGTGCTGGGATTACAGGCATGCGCCACCGCGCCCAGCTTCTGCCTATTACTTCTGATTATAAAGAAATGGCGCAAGCTGTGTTTTTATACTTTTGCAAACAAAGGGTAAGGTGGCTTTATTAGACTAAGGGGGAATAAGCACCTCTCAGACATATGAAAGGGTTCCTTTTACTATAGGAGTATTTTTTTCTAGACCAGCAACTACCAAACATTTTGGCACCAAGGACCAATTTTGTGGAAGACAGTGTTTCTGCAGACAGTTGGGGAGGGGATTTGAGGATGATTGGAGCATGTTGTATTTATTGTCATTTTTTAATTTATTTATTTATTATTATTACATTAGCTTGTCTTAAGGAGCACACACCCTAGATTCCTTGCATGCAGGTTCATGGTACAGGGTTTGTGCTCCTGTGAGAAGCTAATGCTGCTGCTGATCTGACAGGAGCAGCTCAGGCCGTGGTGTAGTGATGAGCTCCCCCCATAAATGTAAGCGAAGCTTGCTGCTGTCCCCTGCCAGCCGCTCGCCTCATGCTGTGCAGGCTGTGGCCTGGAAGATGGAGACCTCTGCTCTAGACTGTGGAGTTGATAGAAAATGGGCCTTAAAGGACACACTTCATTTTCCTAGTAACCACTGTCATCAGTACATTTCCACTGTGAAGTTTACCCAATAAGTAAACATTTTTGTTGGGTGTTCATTGAGGCTCCCCTAACCCTTAATTGGCTCTCGCTGATAGCGTTTTCTGTCATTGCTTTCCCAATATTTACTAGTTCAAGGATCTCTTCCTACAAGTTTGCAATGGTCAGATTGCCCTCCTGACCTAGAATAGAATTTTTCCTCATAAAAAGAAAGCCTTTGCGTTTTTTATTTCTCAGATGTGTTTTTGACTTATTTTCTGCTGTTACAAGAATGTAGCTTTCTAGCCTTAGTCTGCAATGTTGCAATGTTCTCTGACACAGAAATTATCTCCCCAGGCTTCTCTGCAAAATTCAGAAATCATCTTCTAAGCAGTGAGATTTGGTGGTAGGGTTTTTAAATGAGTGTTGTTTAATTAAGGGTTATCCTTTGAGTTTTTGTTGTTTTGTTTTGAGACAAGGTCTTACTATGTAGCCCAGGTTGGGCTTGAACTTGCAATGATCCTCC